TAACCATCTTTTCCAAATCCGAGTGTGTTCTTGGTTGAGCTCATCATCCCAATTTGTTTTCAACAAGCACAATTCTTGAAACAGTAGCTTTGCTTTTAAAGTTATAGGCGAGATCAATCCTAAGGGGTCAAACATTTTTGCAGCTGTAATCAAAACAGATCTTTTAGTAGGCTCCAAAGAATTTCCGCATCCAACAACACCTCCAAATTTCAATGTTATTAAATCTAGATCTGTGTTCCAGTTTAATCCCAATACTTTCTGTTCGACAGGTCTTTCCAGCTCTTCAAATTTTCCGAATGACAATTTAGTATACGATTCATCCTCTCTTCTTACTCCTCCTAAGGGAACGCCATTTGAGTTGACATCACATGAAAGCAAAATTTCCGCAAGTTCCTTTGAATTGCTATTCCATTTCCGTAGATTAAAGTTTCCTTCGCCATAAATTTGTTTGGCGTTCAAGCATACACTGGTCGCCTCCTCCACTGTATTCACAGATGTCGATAAATCGTCGCAATAAAACGAATTCAGCATTAATTTGACGAGTTCTGGGTCGAGCTGTTCATACTTCTTTATGTGATGTTGCAAGGTGGCATTCATAATGAATGGACTGCAACAAAGGCCAAATACTACTGCACAAAACCGATAACAAACAATTTGAGGATCTTCGTCATTGATGTCCTTAACCCATAAGAACCTCAAAAAATCTCTTTGGCTTTCGTCGACTGCAATTGAAAGAAAAGCCTTTTCGATGTCTGCAATGAGTCCAATTTTCTTCCCTCTGAATCTGAGCAAAATAGCATACAATTGTTCCGTCAATGAAGGTCCTGTATGGAGTGTGTCATTTAAACAAACGCCGTTTGATTTGCTAGAAGCATCGTAAACGATTCGAATTTTTGTGGTGAGAGCTTCTTCTCTTATGACAACTTGGCTTGGCAAGTAATGCACCTCCCCGACTTCAACTGGGCTGGTCAAATCAACCTTTTCAATAATCCCCTTTTCCAGTTGCTCGTTGATTATTGAATCACATTCTTGCACAACATCTGGAGTTTTCTTCAGTCGTTTCAAGGTAGAATTCAAACGATTCACAGAATTCTCAAAATTGTCCGGCAATACAGGCGAGTTTTCTTTGAACGGCAGAACCACAGAATATTTTCCATCCGTAAATGAAACATTCTTTTCAAATGATTCAGCGACAGTTTCCTTGTCTCTTATCCCTATGGTCTCAAAGTCCCAGAATTTATTTAGCTGCGAATCCAAATCTTCACTTGTACATTCCACTTTGAGCAAGTATGTCTCCGTTGACTGTCCGTTAATTTGCTTATCCCGGATAGTTGCACCAGGCCCGTAAAGCACCCAACCCAAAGATGTATTCATCGCTGTGGGGCCTTTCTGGTATTTGTCAGTTCTCACCTCCCCAGTGAAAAACTTGATGCTCTCGTCGCACCCAATCAGTATGTCGACATCTTTTCCTGCATCAACGTCGGGATCATCAGATATCTGCAGGCCATCGAGGTGAGGAAATGCTTTCTGGGTCATTGCGATTTCGTGGCGCTGAACTGGTGAGCAAATGTATGGCACAACCAATGTGCTAATTAGCTCCGGCTGCTTATTCTCCTCAGGTTTGAACGTGTCCTGAACAACGAGTTGTGCGACATCCAAAGTTTCAGATTTTCCAACGCTTTTTCCAAAGGTTTTCAAGCAAACATGCTCCTCCGCAACAGCTGGCAGCTTCAAGTAATTTCGAAGCCTTTCCGTTATATAACTTCGATGACTTCCAGAATCAAAGATGATTCTTGCAATAATTTTCCTTCCCGGGTTTCCAGGATTGTAAACTTCCGCTTGAGCAGTTTGCAGCAATATCGAAGGCTTTGATTCCACAAAACAGTTGGTTGTTTCTTCTCTATGAGCTCCGGATTCCGTTTCTTGCGATTTCATCGGTTTTGTGCTGTCTCCCTTTTTGGCATAGACTAATGTGGTGTCTTCCATTACAATTATAGCAAAGATTTTTCGACACACAATTAAATGCCAAGTGACCCTTCCTCAGGCAAATGAAACATCTTCCTTCTTTGCGTAGAATGCTCATTCTTGCTGTACGATTTGTAATGACTTTACAGTCGTTGGTTTTATGCCTTCCTTTGCAAAACGTACACTGAACTGTTCCACTTTGTGTTTCGTTTACCAGAGCACTAGCCGTGGGTATCCATTTGGACGCCTTCTTCTTGATGCTTAGTGCAGTACTTCCATCGTAACCTGCCAGGTTTTTGCATCTCTCGCGTGCCTCTAATTCTACTTTTAAAATGTCAAGTAGTATTGCGAGATTCCATTCCTCATTTCCGATTTTACGGCTTATTTCCACTTGCAAATCTGACGGCAGTTTCTGTTGTAATACGGGAATAAGAAGAGCTCCATACTGTGCACTATTAATCCCAAGGCTTTGTAGCCCTCTAATATTTGCCTCTATCGAATCATATAGTTTGCGTAATCCATGTACATCAGTTGAATCCGAGCAAGATGGTAACTTCATCAGTGCTTCCATGTGGCTGTTTATAATGATTTGCTTTTGTCCGTATCTTGCTTTCAATATGGAAATTGCTTCCAAATAGTTCGACATTACCACAGGCAATCCAGTCAGGGCCTCGGCAGCCTCTCCCTTCAACAATCCGACTAAATAGTGAAATTTGTTGATTGTTGCAACGTCATCGTTCTCATGAACGGCAGAGCTGAATCCATCCCAAAATTGTTGCCATTCCTTTGGGTTTCCCGAAAATTCTCTAAGCTTTATAGGCTGTAGTTTTACTTGTGCCCTGTTGTTTCTTTTGCTCGCTGTACTAGATTTTGTGCTTGTCCCATCGTTATCTTCTGCTAAAATGTAGTCGATTTCGATTGCAGTTTCTTTCATACCGTCTCTAAATGCAGCGGCTTCCGTCACCTCATTGTCGATTTCTTCATCGTGCGCTTCTAGTAAAATTTTTTCGTCCAAATCTTTCAGCGTATCTAGTCTTTCCAAGATCGACTCTTTCAAGCTTTTCAGTTTATTCGTTTTTGAATCCGGATCAAAGTCTTTCATCAGTTCTATCGCTTCCTTCTGGATTTTTGAGGCGTATCTTCTGGTTGTTCCGCGAATTTTCTTTAACTTTTGGATATCTACTTCCATGGCCATATCCGACAGCTTGGTTCAGTGTCAATTATCCGGCTCGGTGGACCACTTTATATCAAATATGTATAAAGATAGAATATAATTCCTATTTTCATGTAGGGCTAGGCCCTCGTTCTGTATTTCCTAATGCTGATAAGACCGTATTCCTCTCGTGCTGTTACGCACGTCCGTTCTCTACCCTTCGTTCCGAACTCTACCTAATCTAATCTAACACGTTGCTACATACACAAGCGCTGTCAGCGGAATAATAAATTTTAATAACGCGTCCATTTCGCAACATAACCGAGAGATTAAAATACTTTATTATACTAGAGTCCAAATTCCATAACACTCGCATTGATGTTTGCTATTCGTGTGTCAAGTGCTTCATTGAGTAGTTTCCATCATATGCTGCCTCGCCCCTCTCTTTATTAAGTGTTAAGGCTTATTGTAGTCAAAACAAATTAAGGAACTATTATGGAACTTTTGGTACTACAATTTGATGGTTTGAGGTCTACGAATAAGGAACTTTTGGAACTAGGCCTTGAGGTAGGTTCCTTATAAAAAAGCCTGTAATGAATTTAGAGTTTTAGATTTACTTACCACCATAACTTGTATGAGTTTTTTGAAAGGAGCAAGACGCTGCTGTTTGTTGTGACGTTTGTGGCTTTTGTTTGGTGAAAAAGCTGTCGAGGCTTTGTATCCAAGCTGAATCATTTTTTAAGTCTCGCAGCTTTTTCTCGCGAAGTTTCTGTGCACCACCTTTGGTTGAAGTCTTCTTGCTCATCCCCTGTCTACGTATGACCTCTTCATTGCTTCACATCACAGAGCAGATCGCTTAGTGAATTTTTAAACTTCTAAATTTATTACATTTAGCAATAGCTTGTGCTTAGGCAAAAACATGACCAGCTTCAAGCAAAAGCTAAATAAAAAGACATCAGGGCAGGTTAAAATCTTAAGTATCACATTCAAACGGGGCTGTTGAAGTATAATATGCCGCCAAAAGGGAAATACCGTCAAGAATATAACAAGGTGTCAGTAATGTTTCCTGAAGAAGTCTCTGGGCTGCGGTGACAATAATGAATTCATAATTTTGATGGTTTTGAAGTACTCGCGTGTATATTTATTCTTTTCCACAAGGTCTCTGGAAATTCAAGGCAAACAGATCAACGCATGGGTATATTTTTTTCGCCTCGCAAGCACTTTTTAAAACCAATTTATTTTTTTGCACTTTTATCGACCGGCCCTTAAACCGACCGGCCAGTCCGCCCCTGGTAACGATAACACCGTCCTGGTCTTGGCCAGTGTACCCCAGTCTAAAAATAAAACAAGGGGACAGTTTTCAGATGGGTCTATATCCTATTGTTTTCTGCGTATCAGATTGCCACCAATTGCAAAGTTTCCTGCTATTGTGTCTACTTTCAGGAGAGATATCAAAATATCGTCGATTGTGAAGACACGTGGTAATGTACCCCAGTCTAAAAACAGGCCAATGGGGCAATTTTCAGTTGGAGTCCATCACTGGTTAGCCACTCGTTTAAATGGACAGTCAGCCCGGCTGACCGGGCTAGATTGCTGCTTATAAACATGGGGCTGTATTTACACAACCGAAGCCGGTTCAGTCGGCCTCACGGGACGATAAATCATGTTCAGTTTATTCTTTTTAAAGTTTATTCTTAATTGGACTGTGTTTCTTTTTATGTTCTGTCATTGTTTTAATGCACACGGGACAAAATAATCTTTCTTAAAGAAAGATATATCAATGGGGTTGCAGGGACCGTCCTTCTCTTGCTCCTTTAGAAAAGCAAGATCTTGTTAGTTTTTATGCAAATTCACATTTAAATAAATGCATCGTCATTATGCGACGGCAAGAGCTTGCTTTGTTCGTCTTTCGAAATTTGTCTCAGGTTTCAACAAAGATACTAGCTTGCTACATGAACGGCCTCTTATACCCTGCAGCAGATGGCGTGTTTCAAAGGTATGGCGAGCTTTGCGTTTCAGAAATTGGCATTAGTTTTGCTCTTTTTATCGTGCGTTGCAGCAAATTTGAAGGATGAGTACGATCATGCAGCTTTCTTGGACCCAAAGGAAAGCTACAAACTTTACTGGAGTGTAAAAGATGCTGATAAATCGATTCATTTTGCTGCCGAAGTGAAAACGACTGGCTGGGTCGCTTTTGGGATATCTGCTGGACTCTCAGGGAGTATGAAAGGCGCTGACATTGTTGTTGGTTGGGTTGATTCCAAAGGAAAAGGCCACTTGAAGGTAACAATTTATCGATAAATTAAAATTGAACAGTAGACGGATATCTAGAGGCCCGCATTTTGCGAATCTTCAAACAATGATCGCGAAAAAAACGTAGTCAGACTTCAGCAAACAGCCTTTAAACATGGATTAACTTTTTTTTGCCAAGTAGAAAAATTTGAAAATATGCTGCACTCTTTAGTTCTGCCAGGCAAAGATGTGAACAACCATTTCTGAAAGATGATTTCTACAAGCACTTGTAATGTAATGTGTTATAGATTTGTTGCAATGTACGTCGTTCAATATATGGTTTAAAAAACATAGAAATGAACCAACGAAATGAGTGTGGCAACATAAAAGAGTGTCCGCTATTGTTACAATTTATCTTTGGCAATCGCCATTGGGCTGCCTGCGTGTGCGGGAGTGCGGAAGACAAACAGCGGCGGTCTACCTCGAAATTTTCATAGGCATTCGGCAATATTGGTGGTATTAATTCTTCAAAGTCAGATGTAGAAGTCAGATTACTCATTTTCCTATGGGGGGGGGGGGGTAGGGGTCGCTACACCAACTTGGAAAATATATTGCTTATTATCTGACCACTTCCCTTAAACTATAATAATGGTAGAAGAAGTGTGTGTGCAGGGCTTAACGCTTCGATGCCATGCATTTTTCCCCTGTAAAGAGTAAATATTGCAGCCCCTACATTCAGTACACACGAGGGTACAGTTGCATACCTAGGATATGGATGCTGAAAAGAGAAAGCGTAAAACAGGAAATTGTAATGCAGGAGTTGTAAAGAAGGTGCGGCTGCCAGTTTGTTTGGTTTAGAGGAGCACTGCTTCTAGACGCACGCGTTCTGGTAATAATAACAATAATAACAATAACAATGCACTTATAGAGCGCTAAAATCTATATACATATATTCTAAAGCGCTGAACAGTGTTAAAAAACCTTAATTTACAGAAAGTAAAGTTAGAAATGTCATTCACATGTTAAATTGATTATGAAATAAATACGTCTTTAATCCTGTTTTGAAAGTTTGGACGCTCTGAGATCTTCTAATTTCAACGGGCAGTTTGTTCCAGAGCCTAGGGGCTGCAGTACAAAATGCTCTGTCCCCACGAGATGCAAATTTTGTCTTTGGAACTAGCAATGCCATAGATTTGTCTGACCTCAGTCTGTATCTATCACTGGTTTGTAGCCTCAACATATCTTTCAGGTAGGCTGGAGCCATGTTGTTAAGTGCCTTGAATGTTAATAACAAAATCTTGAAGTCAATCCTTTCTTTTACCGGCAGCCAATGCAGTTCTTTTAGTACTGGAGTGATATGATCGTACTTGCGAGTCCCAGTAATTATCCTTGCGGCAGCATTTTGAACACGTTGCAACTTTTGCAACTGATAATTCGGCAGACCAAATAGAAGACTGTTACAGTAGTCAAGTTTACTTGTGATAATAGCATGCACGATCTTTTCAGTTTAGAGGCTCATACAGTACACAAGGACCGCATATGATGTTGAAAATCGAGGTGGCTCAAATGTCTCTTTTGGAGTGGGGTTACTGGTATTGTCCCTGACAAAACATTGTTTATGTCATCAATTTCAAAGCTACACTCTTTTTTTAAAAAGGGCCAGAAACTTGAATTTGTGGCTGTTTGTTATTAATTTTCCAAACTTTGAGGCCGGGGAGTTCTTAATTTATTCTTTTAAATTATTAGTGCTTCTGTGCAATTGCTAGCTATTGTGCTGAAGGTGAGTGTTTCGGCAACTTTTGAGACTCATCCTTTACACGTATTTTTTTATAAGAAACCAAGGTCCGGTGCTGGTAGGCAGTTTCTTAAATTTTCTGGCCATTTTGCTATCAATGTTTTATACATGCTTCTTAAATTTCTTAGGTAATGAAATTTTTAAACGTTTTTCCAATGTAAAGAAAATAGTTATAGTGATCAAGGAATTTTGTGTTCCTAGAATGACTAACTCTGTTGAGATCTGTAAACAGTTAAGCTCATAGAACTTGAGCAATGTCAAGTTGAAGACAAAGCAAATTTTTAAGTCGAATTTTTTTGAGTGTGCAAATTACTGAGAATAAATGCAAGTGTACTGTTGGAAAATACAGAGATGTTTAATGTCAAGACTGTTTCGAGTGTCAACTCGGAAAATTAAAACTGCTAATTATTAAAGTTTCTCAGCTTTTTTCAATTTGAATATGGTTGTTTTTAACTTTCAAAAAATTAAGCCTACCGTTTCTTATAACCTGTTTCCTATAAAAAAATGAGTGTTTCCGACCTAAAGTGTGAAACTGTTCACAAAACTGTTCAAAATTACATTATACGGTAGCTGAGCTTATTCTCAGCTTAGTCTTAATTTGTTCTTAACTTTTGTCCAATTTTTATTCTCGTGTCCTTATCAAATTATTCTTACCAAAAAGGCTGTAACTTGAAAGCTTTACAAATCCCAATATACGGATAGATAATCGTCAAAAACATTAGTGGGATTTACTAGATTTCAATTTCTCACTTTCTATTCTAACAATCCTTTTCAAGTGACTCGGGGAAGCGGAACGATCTCCTATCGTTTTTTGTCACGCAACGCAGTTAAGTCTCACAATCGCGGCCGCCAGTTTTAACGTTGAGATTTTCCATCTAGTTGAATTTGTAAGTGTTTGACCTAGCTGAAGTAATCGACACACTAAATTTGTCGGAAGTTTACTTTGATGAACAAATCCCACATATGCAGAGGCTTAAATCCAGGGGCGTCGCAACCGGGGCATAGAATAGGAATTAGGCAGAAGTGGAACTCTTCTGAAACTTGCGCATGCGTTAACTTATACGAGGCTGAGCATGCTGTTGGGTAATTTTCAAAAAAGAATGAAAGTAGACAACTTTATTTGATCGAAATGCCCAAAGATTGTGAAAAATGTCAATTATGTATCATAATTCGTTAATATCTGATTAATGAATAATAATTTGTCATGGCTAAATTCGTCTAATGAAATCGAGGTTAACGGGGAATTTTAAAATTCTATTGTTGACTCAGGCTTCAAAAACAACAAAGGAACCGACGAGAGTTACCCTTCTGCCTATATCCTATTCTGTGACCGGAGGTGCGGCCACACCCCGCTCAGTGAAAGAAACACTTTAGGTACTTCAGAGACCTTCATGCCATAAAATCAATAAAGGAACAAGCAAAGGTAGTTCCTCCGTTGGTTAAATATGATATTCCTTGATATAAATGAAGGTAAACAAACTAATGATTTGAAGATTTCTTGTTGACACTGAATCTAAAAATTCAGGCCCTCTTTAAGTAAAATTGTGTCTTGCAGGCGCTCATCCAGCCAAAATTTTGACCGGTTTCGGGTGTTTTTCCCGGTTACGGCTCTGTGTTGTTGGTCCATAAATATTGCCAAAAGTTGCTATTAAGGTTAGCAAAATGTGATTAATTTGCTCACACTTGATCTAAATTGCCGCAATTTACTCGGTCCATTTGATCCTCTTCTCAGAGATGGGGGGGGGAAGCTGAAAATGAACCGGGGAGGGGAGCTGAGAATCAAGTTTAGTGATGTAGGAGGAGCCACGGGTTGGGTCCGATGCGAAAGAAAATTTTTGAAATTCAGCCTTCTAGAATGGCTAAAGATTCATCTCCCAGACTAAAATTTACACATTGCTATAACTCTCAGAACAGAGAATTCGATGATCTTAAAAAAAACTGCTTCTTGATTTTTAGTACAAAATTTGGAGGGGCGGAGTCATGCTAAAACGTTAGTGACAGACGTTGAGGTAAGAAAGGAAGGGTGACCTTTGGTTCAAAGTGCACATCGATGTGAATAACAAGAAGCTGTTGTTTTGATTGAGAAAATTTTAATTCCTGAACAGAAATGTGCATCTACTTTGTCTCGATTATTTTCAGTAGGCCATGTTAACACAACTACAATGCAGACATTGCAATGATGCAAAAGTTATCTACTGAAATGGTGCAAATAATAGACAATTAGATAAATTATACCCCAATTAGTTAGTAAATAGATCAAATAAAATCAAGCAGTATATAAACAGTTTGTTCTCCTTTTATTTCATATCTCGTTTTCAAAAATGATATAGAAAAGACATTCAAAAAAATTTTATCTCTGAAAAAGTGAGCCACACAGCCCCCCCTCCAGGCCCCTTTCTAGCAATTTCGATTCTAATTTTCATGAATGTTTTCTGAGAGCGAAAGTCTAGCTCCACAATGCAAGATGTCAGATTCTAATTTGCATCTGTATTCCATTTTTTATCATTTTGTATCAAAACGGTATCGAATATGCTTTTTAGTCACCGGTTTTTTCGCATAAGGGAAACATATGGGCACCGTTTTTCACAGGTTTTCAGAAAACAATAACCACCGGTTTTAATATTGGCGCATAGATAGCATACTCTAAATTGTCACTGTGAGGGGTGACTGATTTCTCCGATTTTGAATTCCTTGGATACTTTTGGATAGAAGATGAAATAGGAAGCTGGGAACTCTGTCGTAATCTTTCCAGCAAGGGAGTGCTGTTGTGTTGGGGTTCAATTTGGTAGGTAAAAAACTGTAGCCAGAGGGGTCACTGACCCGGGGGCCCTTGGTTTAAGGAACCCATAAATGATACCTCAGTAAAAAATTACAAATAATAATCCTGCCATTATAATAAACTGTCAGTAATAAAAACAATCATGACAAAAGTCTATGAATGAAGTAAGGTAGAAACAGTTTGAGTCTTTGACTGCTTGAGAGTTAAAGATATTTGTGATGAGAATTTCTCATCTTTGTGGGCTTGGGCTAAATAAGTTGAAAAGCTTCTTAATGCATACCAAATAATGTGATTACAACAGGGGAACATACAGCAATATGTACAATCATTGCCAAAAGTACTTTGAACACTCAGCAGTTTGCATTGTTTTTCTATATTTTTAAATTCGTCCTGAATACCCCTATTTCCGCACCCCCTTTCCTCTAAACAATATTTATAACTTAGAAAGTCTGAAATTACCTGAAATTATGAGGAATGGCTGAAATTACCCTTGAAAACTGACGTTAATGTACCAAAACCTTTTGTTGGCAGTGTACGTCATACAGATTTATACCACAGCACGCGCACCTATTGACAAGATTGTGTTGAGTTTTGTCAATGAATTAAACATTTTCCATTTTCTAAGACTTTTAGAATTTCTAAGAAATTTCCCTTTTTATGCATTTTGGTGTTAAGATATCAGTTATGTTCAAATTATATAAAATAGCTAACAGAAGTAAAAGCCACCAAAACAGTTTAGCCACAGTCCTTTTCAAAAATTCCAGAGGAAGCATTCCCCGTACCCCAGGAACTGCCTTGGAAGTGCTTTACTATTTATGTTTCGACCCAACCCGGGGCCCATAAATCCTCTCCGCGGCGCTGATTACATCTGTTGTTTAATACCATAGTTCCGTCAGTTGCTTCAATGTGGAGTTGTCGAATTCATCCAAGAACAACGATATTTTTGTACATTTTAGAAGGGCTATCTTGAGTTAAGAAATGGAAGACCAAGGAGAGTAGTATGTTGGAGAGGGAGATTTTTTATAGAATTTAGGCCCATTTCAATCTATTATTGATACAATTAGCGAACTGCTTCTATTTCATGCTAGTAGAAGATGTTAAGGCATGATAGGCAAGGACAATCAGGGTAAAGCGAATAGATTGCATTATCTACATAAAATGGGAAAACTTTCCAGGCAGTCAATTATTAAAAAAAGAAATGACAAGGACTGATCATTCCATGACAGTTGAGTTAAACAGGCTAGTAGTTGTTAGTTTATCAAACATTATTTGAGTTTTTATCGAACATCATTAATCGTTATCGTTGCAAATATATTTTTAACTAATTTTCTGAGAGCTAACAAAATACTTTTATAAGTTAAACTTTTGAAAGAAGGCTGCATTGCTACATTTTTGCAACCAATTTGTCAACCTAAAAGCTACAGATAACCAAATTCATGTGTTCAATGAATTTCATGTTTGGCTTTTACAAGGTCATAGGGAAGTTTATAAAGAATAGTAATAGAAAGTTCCAATTACTGTTGCTCTTGCGGAACGTAAACAGGGGAGTGGTGCGAAGAAATTCAAAATGGGGAGAAAAGGTTCGAATCGACAGCATTCTTTGACTAAAAAAATCAACTTTTGAAAAACGCATTGAGCGTATCGTGATATGTTATTCCTGTGATTTGTTGGTCACTCATAACTGGCAGAGACACATTGGCAGGGCTACCTAGAGGTTTCAGAGACCTGCAAGCAAAGGCCTGCAAGCAAACGTAAAATCTTTTGCGACAACATCCTTTAGATTAGCTTAAAGTAAATTTCAGAAGATTTCTTGCAGTCGTTTTCTTATAATCTTGTCACCGCCGTACTGCTTAGGATACCAAACTAATTCCCCTTAGCAACAAACCTTTATTATTTATCGGCTAACAAATTGTAATAGTTTGATAAGCTTGCAAACCCGCACACTAAATAAACATGTGTAACAATCAGGGGCGGATTCAGTGTGTCGCACAGGTCGCACGGAAGACCGTCAGATTTTTAGAATTTAGTTTTAGTTTTCAGCCATTGAAATAAGGCAATCATGCTTACCGTAATCTTTTATTTCCCTCCTTACAGATAATACATTAAACTCTTTTTACACAATGAACACAGGACCGAACTTGGTCGATCTCACACACAATGCTACGATTCATTTCAATATAGAAGAAACTCAAAGACCATCCTAGACCGTAAACAGTATGATTTTTAGGCATGTCGCCCGTGCCGCACAAATATGCAGGGCTTTTTGTTATGCAAATATTTTAACAAATCTCACCAATCAAAATTCAAGTTTTCACATATTTGTGCGGCACGAAAAGTCTGTAAACACTATGTTAGATTACTGTGCCGCACAACTGCTGGCAAGGGAAAAAGTGGATGAAAGTTGTGAAGGAGAAGAATCCCAAATTTTTTATGCATACGGAAGAGGTGCACAGGAAGTGTACCCTTCTGAATCTCAAGATATTTTGTCTCAACTGGGTGTTTGGATTTGCTGGAAAATTTGGAAAACCTTGTAAAAGGGAAAAATGTTTGACTACACAATTTGAACATTTCAGGGCCCCAGTCCCGTCGCCACCCTCAAAACTACTACAAAGCCTGCAAACCTCGTTGCTGACGCAACTTCCACTCCTAAAGATAAGGGCGTTTCATCAATCAAAGTGTATCAGTCTTGCTTAGCGGGACTAATCACAGTTGGAAAGTTAACGCTTACAAGACATGAAAATAGTATTCTAGACAAAAAATCAAGATGACTTTCTTGAAAAAAAGCGAATTTATTCGAATTTATTTATTGTGGTTGCAATAACTGACATTGTGAGCTTTAGGGTTTTTACCTTTGAAATTAAACCTAGTTGCTCTGGTCCCGGGGGGAGGGGGGCTGGGTCCCTATCATGGCCCTACCCTTGACCACGATGGAGGCCCCCTAGACCGCCTGCTGGATAGGGTTTATGTGCGACCGTCAACTTTTATTCTGTATCCGCCCCTGGTAACAATACTTTATGTATTTTACAGGACTATCATGGACCAAGTTATGGAAATGGCTGGCCTATCGAAGACAAGAAGCAAAATTATGATTATGTTGGTTCATCTGAAACCAATGGTGTCACTGTCTTGAAATTCAAACGCAAGTTAGTTACTTGTGACAAAGAGGACAGAGATATTCCTGTAAGTTCTGATGTCATCAAAATCCATGCTCTTTCCTTAATCATACCTGCCTATATAATGCTTTATTGTGGAGGAATCCCTTTGACAATAGGACAAAGAAAAAACATTTTAATAGTAAACTTTGCAGCCTGTACATAAATTTGTTAATGTTTTACCGAACATCGTTTCTTCGTGAGTTTTGTAACACAAAAACCTGATTTTATCTAACTTACCACCCCGACCGCGCCCACCGATATATAAACCCTGAAATAGCAATTTTGGGTAAACAGGGAGAACAGCCTGCAAAGATCGTTTAAGAAAACAAAGCTGAACTTTAAAAATAATTTCGTTGAATGTGCAACAATTTTACAATTTACAATCCCTCACAATAACCTATGCTGTTTTAGCTTGGAACATCCAAGGTGATCTATGCACATGGGCCTACCGATACTTTCAGCAAACATCGAACAAGCGACAGGGGAGCAAGAAGTATAAATTTGTTGAATTATGTCAAGAACGTACCACCACCCAAAACAGCGAAATACTTTGATGTTGTCAGCGCAAACGTGAGTTGACAGAAATTTTCGTTTTTTTCTAATTTTGAGTTGGTTTTCAAATTTTCTCAACTTTTCTCTTCTCTTTACAAAGTCTTTTTTAATTAACTTGCATGACTTTTCGTTGCTCCATTATTTTTCGCATTGATTTCTTGGTCTTGCTTATTTGTGACAACTGCATTCTGAATAATTCTAGGTCTCTTTGCCAACTGCTGAGACAACCTACTGGTGTTCAGCTTATAAAATGGCGAATCTGGTTCATCTAACAGAGAAAAAACACATCATCGAGGTAAAATGTGGAATGAGTTATAAAGATATAAAAGAATACATTTAATGATCTCCAGAACGTTCGTGGAAGAAAAGATGATAAACCTGAACTGAATAACCTTGAATTGTGATTGAAGTGCTGCATCCTTGGAACAACTACTTTTTCAGCAGTAAATTTGGTCTTTAATCGCAAAAAACGAAAGAACATTGTGACAATGCAAAATAAGATATTTCAGTTCTATTCGTCGATTAATGTTTTCAGCAGGACACCCTTTGCACTAATTTAGTGCCTAAAGAATTTCGTGAAAATAGAGTGATTCTTTCAATGCAAACTGAATGATTCTTTCATCAGATTGTGATGCATGTAATAGGTATCTACTGTAATGAATAATATGATGCGATCCTAAGTGACTCTGTTGCAGATCGAACCGATTGTTGCATTGAAGGATCGTGGTGTGGTGCATCATATGGTGCTGTACATTTGCAAGAACACCTTCAACGACTCCCATTTGAATGTTACAGGATCCTGTCGCGATAATCATAATATGCCACCCTCGATAAAGGAGTGTGTTGGTGTCAGTCCAATGTATGCATGGGCGGTTGGTGGAGTGGTGAGTTGTTATCTAAATTTGCATAAAATTAGAAATCAAAATCCTGATGAGCCATGCTTTCGAAGAATCCAAATTTTAAGATTAAAATATCATAAACCATAGCGAATGGTTGATATTGATGATTAGATTTGTTTGAAATTAATATCTAGCGAACTTTCCTCTATATTTATATTTCATTATTTTCCCTAACTTATGTTAAGTTTTACGCCTCGTTCATTGAATTCATCCTTACAGCACATGATATCTACAAAATCGTACATTGCAACTAAATGTTGAGCTTTACTTTAAGTGTCATAAACACAGCAGATAAATTATCTGATGATAATTGAGAAATTGTCCACAGTTACAATATTGTAACCAAATATCTCATGGTTGATCTGTATGTTGTATGTTCTAGTCTGTTTCGAATCTTGCTCAATAAATTATCAACCGAAATAAATGTTTTACACTGTTTCGTGTTGTTGTTAGAACGACGAAGCCTTTTCTAACCGACATGCTAATTTAACTGTGTTCCTTTTCATACTTTATCATTCTGTTGGCATTGTAAAAATGATTTATCAATCGTTAAAAATCATTTCTACATCTTATAAAAGACTTTTGTGACTGGATTATTGATAATGATAACGACATCGAAAATTCACGTGGCATATTCTACAATAATTCATAATATGGAGGAGGATAATGACATCGACAATTTCACATGACATAGTCTATAATAATTTATAGTGCGCAATGTTACTCTTATGCTATTTCTGATTAGTCATATCCTTTTGCTGTTTGTTATACCAGCTGCAGATTGAATAAATTTCAGGATTCCTTGTTATGGACTTTGCTTGCTTCTATTACCATCTTTTATACAGTCCATTGCAACCACATTTCTCATGATTGTTGTGTCTTTGCTACCCTGGAGTCGCAAAAGTAAGGGCAGCAAAAACTTGATCTCAGGGTATATCTTTGCAAGAACTGAAATATTTCTCTGCTCCATTTTCCAAGAATTTCAAGTTTCCCGATCATGTTGGATGGTCAGTAGGGGCAACAGACAGTATGAGGTACTTTGTGTTGGAGACGCATTTTGACAACCCACACAACAAAGGTCAGTTGCTATCATCTTATGCTACGGCTGGTAATCTATCATGTTTCATACATTTAAACAAAATTTTCAACTTATGTTTATTTTCAATTATCAGAAAACTATCCTGATAACCCCACACCTAAAATTATGAATAGCGTGCGCTTATTCTAAAATGGTTAAAAACAAAGCACTTTTATTGTATGATATTTTTTCCTATTATATTTTTGGCAACAAATTTGGCTATTTACATTGCCCCAATGGGCGGCTGGTCTTCCGCGCATCATTTCGGTATTTTCGAGACACATTCTTTCAAATGACGAAATTAAATAAAAAATTGAAGCACAATAATAGAATAACTGCAAGGATTTTTCATGCTTGGGAGGACCCGTAGGGAAATTTTCTTTAGCTTTTCCGCAAAAAAACTCTTTTTTACAGTAAACGTTAATCAATTTACGACTTCACGACGTGTAACGACCTAGCATAAGTAGTCCCCAAGTTAAATGTAAGTATAAGATAAGATCAGTGTCAAAAAGCGGCATATTTTCTTTTCAATTAAGATGTTCATGCCTTCTTTCTAAGGCCACCTCATCACCAACGGACTTCGCTTATATTATGACAAACCTCGCAAATACGATGCTGCAACCCTTACGGTGGGCGTGGCTACTGGTAAGAATCTTATTATACCACCTAACCTTGAAGAGTGGACGACGACTGGAAGCTGCTCAAAAGCCTGTACTTCAGTGAGTTGAATTTCTTCTCTGTAACTTTTGCTTTTGTCAAAATAATTGAAAACCAGAGAGACTGTCCAGCTCCCAGCCAGATCCCTTTCGTTAGTTAAAAATTAAAATCCGGCTTCAAGGGACTTGCATTTTAACACTCTACTTTCAGCCGTTTGACTTTTCCTTTGAAATCTTGATGTAGTTGTAGGTAGTGATTTGTTGAAAAGGGCACGATTTCTCTTCACAAAACTCGCTAAGGATTATACTTGTTTCGGAACTTTCAGCTTTCGAGCTGGGTAATCAATTCATATTATTCGTTCATCAATAGATAAATAAATTAATTCATTCATTTATTCATTCATTCATTCATTCATTCATTCATTTATTCATTCATTCATTCATTCATGCATTCATTCATTCATTCATTCATTCATTCATTCATTCATTCATTCATTCATTCATTCATTCATTTATTCATTCATTCATTCATTCATTCATTCATTCATTCATTCATTCATTTATTCATTCATTTATTCATTCATTCATTCATTCATTCATTCATTCAATCATTCATTCATTCATTCATTCATTCATTCATTCATTCATTCATTCATTCATTCATTCACTCATTCATTCATTCATTCATTCATTCACTCATTCGTTCATTCATTCATTCATTCATTCATTCATTCATTCATTCATTCATTCATTCATTCATTCATTCATTCATTCATTCATTCATTCATTCATTCATTTATTCATTCATTCATTCATTCATTCATTCATTCATTCATTCATTCATTCATTCATCCATCCATCCATCCACTCATTTATTCATTCATTCATTCATTCATTCATTCATTCATTCATTCATTCATTCATTCATTCATTCATTCATTCATTCATTCATTCATTCATTCATTCATTCATTAGTTCATTCATTCATTCATTTATTCATTCATTCATTCATTCTTTCATTCTTTCCTTCATTCATTCATTCATTCATTCATTCTTTCATTCTTTCATTCTTTCCTTCATTCAAACAGGATAAAGACACCCAGAGAAGTAGAAAACAAATCAAATACTCGACTAAAAAATGACCTTAGATTCATTAGAGGAAGCATCTGTCTTGTCTGAGATCTAAGTGGAACCATTCCGTCAGATTCTGTCTTTTAGCGTAATTTCTCTTGTATACTTTTTTAAACTGAAAATTCGTATGGGTTACCAAGTGTATTGCTTGTTGCTTGGAGTAAAATATCTTTTTCTTTTTACATTTTAGTACCTAAAGAATCCCAAGGCTTTGAAAGGCAACGAAGTAAATTTTTTTGCCTCGTTTCCGCACGCCCACGTTCTTGGTAGAGCCATCTGGACTAAGATTATTCGAAACGGAAAGGAGGTCGTTGAAGTCCTTAGAGATAACAATTACGATTTTGATTATCAGGTTTGTTTAGTACTATTTTAAGCCAAAAGTACTTGCAACACCCAGCAATTTACGCTACATTTGATATCTTTCATTCCTTTCATGAAAAAAATTACTACTTCTACCCCCTTCCTCCTAAAACAATGTTGATGATTTAGAGAAATATCTATTTTAGGAAGCAAAGGAAAGTGCTTCCTAAAATCCTAACCCGTTTGATAGTAAACCAACATTGTTCTGTAGGAGAGAGGGGGATGATTGATTTTGAACTTTAAAATTGACGTCAGTGTTCCAAGACTTTTGGCAGGCATTGTACGCATCGTTGTATTGTGCTCTCATTTAGAAAGTGTACAGGTAGGAGTCATCGACAGGTGGGAGTCATCGGGGTTTAAAGAGCAATGAAATTTTATAAAAATGTGTTGCTGATTACAGAAATCTGGCGGATTACAGAAATGACTGAATTTGCCATACTTGCCGGACGCGGATTTTCTCGAAAATGATTCATGAAATGCGGAAATTTTATAAAGTTTTACGTATTTGAAGAGTTTTTCTTCTTTTTTTGTGGAAAGTTACCTGGTCATATCTTGGTTTTCCTGTCAGCAGCATCTATCAATAATTTTGGGACGCGGAATTTTTATTTCAGCTAAAAATTTCGTGAAAAGACGGCTTCTACCCCCTTTGATGACCCCCACGTACGATTTTAGAAAAATTCTCAACAAACGGTATAGTTAGCTGTAATATATAGCTCTCTTCAGTTGATATCAAAGATCTCCATCCGGGATCTGAGATCAAAAATCGTTTTTACCCGCCTTAATAACAGCTCAAGTTGCGAATGAGAAAATTTTAAACAATCGATGACAACTTTATAATTCGATAATTAAACTTGAAAACTTTTTTCAGCAAACTCATCTTCTACGCAAAGAAATCACATTCCAAGCGGTAATAATTTTTATTTCAATTAATCGACTTTCTAGTTCCTCGCTTCATATACAAGTTGCTATCATAACTATTTGTCCCGTGACGTAGCATAAGAGGCGGCATGGTTCGGAAACGGATAATGAATTGCACTGATAAAGTACATCAAAATTAGAGGGAAAATACCAAAAAGGTGTAGGTTATGATCTTGCTTTTTACAAGCAAAGAAGTCTAAAATTGTGAAAGCGCATTAAAAATTGTTTCAAATTAATGAAGTTTAGTGTTAACGTCTTTTTTGGAACGGATTGATTTTTGGAAATACGAGATTCGAACGAGACCGTCCTAGATGTTTTTTACAGCCCCCCTTTCCCAAACAAATTTATCTAGCTATTTTTGGAGCATTTAGATTTAGCGCTTGGTCAGCAAAACGTTTTGAATGGTAAGCAACTAAAATAGGAAAATCATTTCAAAGCTGAGAGAATCCTTTTGTCTGCATTTCCTTTTTGATTTTATCTTCATGATTTAACCATTCTTGCTTTGCATCACATCAACGTTACCTTTCTACATTTTACGTATAAGAATTTAAAGAATACATAATGCGATATGTACGATGCTCAAAACATAAGCAAAGCAATGTCTCTGCCAGAGCTTATTCTAAGCTGGACTTGGGCTGGAATGGATATGAAATTGGAGCTGGAATTCGAAATGTGGAACTAGATATAAAATTCTGTGGAGCTGGGAAATCCAAACAAAACAACAAAAACATTCCTTGTTTTCTAATTGTTATTCCTATCATATTTCGTTCGAACGAAACAGTTGGACCGTACCAGCTGAGTCAGCTTTTTTATAGGATATGATAAGACTAATTACCTGAGTTCGGTTTGCGAATGTGGAGCAAAGGCAATACATTTAGGACACGGCATGTAACTATAGAAATTTAAATATCAACCAGAGCCGCCGAGAGAGGGAGGGGGAAATGGCCCAGGATCTCGAGGTTTAGAGGGGTCCATAAGATAATGAACTTCATTTTAAGAATGCAATTATTCAAATGTAACAAAATCATGCCAATAAATAGTAAAACGTCTGACTGATTAGATGAAAATGGCTGCAACAAATACAACAAATAAGCTCTGGTCTCTGTTTGTCTTTACAAAATCAGCTGCTAACAAATTTTTAATTAATGTAGGGAGATGAAGTTATCAACTACTGCAGGTATAATAGCATTGGCAGGCAGAACGCTACCTTTGTAAGTTTCTTTTTTATAGTCATTCTGATCATCTCTTTTGCAAAAATACTTGTTGTTTTTTGTATTTTAACATTCTAACTCAGTGACCCTCTCATGAATTTCGATGTAAATCTATCGCGATTGAGGTGAAAGCTAGAAATGAGCAGCTTAAAGTTAATTTTTTAGAATAAAACTAATATGAGCTTCTCTTGATTAAATCCTGAGCTTTCATACAATGACATACCTCTGAATGAAGTCTTTTTCCAATACAAACTAGCAAGTATATCTATTTTTTAAGGCTTTTTCCGTCTTTTTCAAAGGGAGGGGAATCAACGAAGGAAGAGATGTGTTTTAATTTTATAATGTACTACCCAAACGTTGATCTTGGGAGCTGCACCTCGTCAGCCGTTAGTGGAATGGACAGCTTCAAACAGAAGTATGGAAGAGCAGGAAAAAGAGGAAAGTATGTGGGTTTATCTTTTCGCTTAACAAAAAACTTGCTAGGTTGATAATTAAGATCATGGCACACTTTCTCGACGCAGGCACAACACACACCAAACAGTACATCTTTCTGCCTATAAGAAGCAAATCTCCACGTTAAGCAGAATAGTTTCTTAATGCTTTGAGAAATTTCAATTCTCGGTGTTTCTTAGGAATTTCTTAACTAATTTTATCACTAATTTTATCATTTGGGGTCTTATATTTAATTTGTCATGCTGGGCAATTTTCAAATAGAAACTTGTTGGGGAGGGTTTTTTGCAGCTCCAAACAGTGAGATTCGTCTATGTTTCTATTGATTTCAAATGCTGGTCACATTTATGTCGAGAGGTTCATTCTAATGCTGTACCTAGATTGGAAAATTTAACTTTCTGTGTCAAAATTTTTATGCCAACCAGTCAACCAGGTTGATGGATTTTTGCATAATTTCTGTGTCATCGTCTTTTTCAAAATTTAATTGGTTCTTAGCTTTTGCCGCGAGTAATGAAATTTCTTAATTTTTCTCTGATTGCCCAGTGCTTATATTCTTATACCGAGTTGCTTAAAGATGAGAGTTTGCCATATATTTATCATTTATATGCCCTGATTATTTGTTGATTACTCTCTTTCTAAACAATTCTTTGAGTCCAGTTTCATATCAATAGCAGCTGTGGCAATTTTGAAGTAGAAATTGTCTATTGTCTGCCCACAGTGTCACTTACTACAGCTTAGATGGTGTGAGATGGAGTAAGTCAATGACAGATGAGCTCAAGAGCATTTACGACAGAACACAAAAGAGCATCAGAGCACGCTGTACTGGGACAAATGGAGAAATAAAGGTATGCCAGTCATTTACCTGCAATCTCATGATATGACACTGAAAGTCAAACGATTGTAGAGCTAAGGGGGAATTTGATGTAACAATTTTAAGTCCGACATTATTGGGCTTTGAAAAAGCTATGAAACGTTTTCACCTACCCCTTGAATATGATATGGCAAAACTCGGGTTGTTGCTTGCCTATTCCCGATGAACGATACGCCTCAGATATTTCATTAGATATCGCTTTGAAAGCTATTCGCGTAAATATAGAGAATGCAAAAATGTATGGGTAGCACTAACAATATCTCGTGCAGTAGCGATCTTAGAGGTTGTCTAACACTTCATCAAACAATGATCTATTAGCTTAAAAAATATACTGATTTAACATCTATATGCAAAATCTTGTATGTTAAATATTTAGATATAAACTGTATATCTAACATTAGAAAGATAATTAAAGATTATTTTTTGGATTTCAGAAAGTTGTTGCGGTAGATCGTCCAGTCATCACTCAGGCCTTGCCCCCTCCTAAAGATGTTTGTACGGATTCAGTTGGAGGGGCAGTGTCCTTCCAATCGACTGGGGTTTTCGCTCTTTTGATAAGTTGCGTCATCGCATCGATGCTGTTAGTTTCCATCGGGCAGTGACCTCAGTGACCTGTTGCTTAGTTCTTTTAATCGATCCATTTTGCTTTGACTCCTGCTATTGCTGATTAGTTCAGATGCTTTTATGATATATACATATTTCGAGTTATTCAAAGGCGTCTACTTTGTTTTTCTTCATTATTTTAATTTACATTTTCTAACTTTGTTGAATATTTTCGTAACATAGTTATTCTTTCCCAGTTATGTAGAAAAGATTTGAGTAGTCGAAATTTTATTCAGATGTATAGACTAACTGTGCAAGCCGTGACTTTTTTCTCTCTTTCAAATTTAACCTGGCTCAGTCTTCAAGCCTTGAAACTTGCATGCACCCTAGCCTTCAAGCCTTAAACTCGGAGACTACAATGAAATAACAGATGCAAACTCAGCTCAGAAAGGCATAAACTTTACTGGGAATGAGACTCTAATTGTATTGAAATGTCCAATCAAGTTAATTTGACAACTGTATTGCCTGGACGGAGGGACGTAGACAGAACATATTTAATGGAGGGGCACCATTGTCTGAGATGAATAGAAAGAAAAGGGAATATTCATCAGATACACATGACTCCTATCATTTTTAGTGGGATGTGAGCCCTCAAAGGTAATGTGTCTAGCTAAAGCAAGCAGCTCTGCGACGGTTTTCAAAAACATGTGATTATTCATATCATCGGCCCAGCCATTACAGTCGTTCTGTTTATTTACCCTGCTGCGAAGTTAGCTTTTCATGTGAGCAGTTTTGCTTCGCAAGAATACTGACCAATCGCAAGCCGTTATTTCGATAGATGGCTTGACAAGTTGGGTATACGCCGTCCTTTTATATGGACACATTACCTTTAAGATCAATAGTTGTTACCAGGGGTGTAGCGGGCGGGGGTGTGGGGAATGTGGTAAAATATGGTTTTGCATCTCTTACAACCTCCCCCTCCCCCGAGAATGGTCACGCGACGCCACTTGTTGTTACGGCCCTTCCTGAATCTGTCGTGCAAGCTTGGTAACTATTATTCGACGTTCCTGTCCCCTTGAAGTTTCACAAATATCACTTAAAAGTTTGTGTTGACATTCAATGCACTTTCTTGCGTTATGTTTCAAGGCCATTGCCAAATATAGAAGTGGCTTAAGCCATCTCTCAATTAAAGTAGCCAATAAATGAGCTTGCAAGTAGAAATACACTCACTGATTGGTTCATTTTTGATTGACAGATAGTTGAAGCCCTTTAGTATCTGTCGATTGCATTTAAGCTTCTCACGTTACCTTATGCTTTTTGTTACAATGCACTTTTGATATCTAACATCATTGCAGATAAAGCAATGCCAAACGATGAGTTTCTAAAGCATTCACAAAATTGTTAAAGAATGGGCTCATCCATTCATCCTTGTTTTTGGAAACCATCGAAAGAATTCTTCTTGTCATTTTGATAGGACTTACAAATTTTTAATCATACCTGTTTGAAATTTTCCTGAAAAAGCTGGTAATTTTAGACTCCAGAAACCAATTTTTAAAAACTGAGAAATTCTTCGATCAAAGGTGTTGAAAATCTTTTCATGTTTCTAAATCACTTATCAGGACTGATTAAAAAAAAACACAAGTCCTTCACAGTTGTTAGCGAGTTTCTCTTATTGGGAATCCTCCAGGAAGTCCATCAAGCACGTTGGTAGAACCAAAACTTTGCAGTACAGTTTTGGGCATTTTAACAATCTCTTGCTTAAAAACCCGGTCTCGAATTATATTGAAGATATTTTTTGCTGAAAAAACCCTATATCCTATATCTTGAATATCTAGGACTATCATCTCCCCTTTTAAGAATTTTAAATGAAATTATCGGTTTATGAAGTGGCAAAACAAAGACAAAAACCAAGCGAAATATTAACGGAGTCATAAACGCCGAAACGAAGAAATGAGACTATGAACTGAAAAGGCCAATGCCGAACCTTTTCACGTCATATAAAGCAACAGTTAGAGAGAATACGGATCCAAATTTGAGCCTGTTTACACTTTAGGAACGGAACTTTCACGTGAATCATGCGCGGTGGCGCGGCAATGACGTCTGATAATTTTCAGAAAGCTTCGCCTCAACCCTAGAATCAGCTCCCTTTTCAATCGTGACTAAAAGGTTCCGTTTACACTCGAGGAAAGAAGCACGATTTGGGAACGGAAATAAAGAGTCTCGCATTTTAGCTAAACCAAAGAAGAACGGAACCGTTCCCAAACTACACAGCACGGAAACAAGATGCCCAATGCTTTATACGCTTGAGAAGCTGACAAGCAACATATTGTCGTGCACGTGACGTTTAACTTATTCGTATTTCTTTTACGGAATATGAATATCTTGACTAAGTACATTGTCACCATGATCTAAATCAATATACAAAATAGAAAGATCTTCAAGACTTCAAGACTCGTTACAGTATTTGGCACAATGTTATGAATTAATGGTAGAGCGCGGTTGTCTTTCTATCTAGCAGTTGTAGAATCTATCTTCATAGAAATAGAAATATATAACATTTTGTAGACAGAAGGAGTTAATTTTCATCCTTGTACTCCATGAGAAATATTTCCAAAAGAAAAACTGAACTTATAGGGCACCCTCTACAGCCATACGCTCGCGTTCCTCATTGGCCTATTTCTATCCACAACTGGGGATATATAGTTGCTAGCTTAGAGTTCTCGATCAATCTTTTCCTTTTTTATACCCTGAGGAGTGTCAGACGAAGACTTTTAGTATGTCTCAAAATTTTAGTCTTTTTATAGCCATGTTTGCTTTCTTTATAGCCAATTTTATTTTCTGTACCGCCAAAAAATTGTTAGCAGAAATGTTACTGTTTTCACACAAAAAATAGCTGTTTTTGTTTTCATGATGTTTCTCTATATAAAGAAGAAACCGTTTACTAGGCCGGAGGTATTCTCTCGAAAAGACCAAAGGCAATGAGAGTGGGGAGTTAGGAGGGGTAAAAGGTCCGGGGCCCGTGCTCCGGCGGGGCCAGTATTAATGTAATAAGATCTATTTGTAATCCAAAAAAGCTATTATTTCAGCTACTTTTATGCAACCAACGCCTATATGTTTATCGCAGAGAAAACATGTCCTTGATTCATGTAAAATGTTTTTTGCACATATTTGTATGAATCCTTCATGGGCTCCGACAAAGGTTGAAAAGTTGGGGGGGCCAAGGGAAAATTTAACACCCATAACAAAAGGTTTTGAAAAAAACTCTATTGTTTTGCAAAAAAGTGTGGGGGCCAAGGCCCCCCGGCTCCCCCTTCGTCGGAGGCCCTGTCCTTAACAATTTTTTTCAACAATTGTAACTAAAAGAGCTTTTCCCTGGGCCCAAACTGGCTCTCGATGGCTCTGGAAAAGACACCAGAACCATGAATACTAATGATGCTATACAAGCTACGTACACAGAGTTGGAAGTAAAACAAAAGTTTATTTGCTTCAGAAGTTCTGATGTTATACTATGTGAAGTTTGAATGAATCGTTTAATTTTTAATAATAAGACTGCACCATCAATCCGCCCCAGTGTGGTTTTCTCTGTATTCTACAGAGAGTAAAAAGGCAACCTTGTAAAAAGGCAATATTGTTGACAAAAGCATAGCATCAGCGAAAACAACAAATAAATGAACTACAGTTAGAACACGTTAAACTGGCTTTTTTTGCTTCTCTATAAGCGCATATGATCTTTTGATAAAACTAAAACTCTCTTAAGATTTCTAGTTTTAGATTTTCAAAGGTTCTGATTTTCAAAGATTTTTCAAAAAAGCTGAAAAGATGTTTTGGCATTAAAAGTCAAATTTGTAACGAATAACATGAATGTTATAACCTCAACATGAACATTCTTCGCTTTTTGAGCCGCAGCCATCTATGCGAGCTTCTGTGTAGCTTCTGTGTTCCTTGCATTTCAAATAGAGGGAATTCCAATTTTATTTGGATTTCCTTCTAAGTTTTGATGCCGAAACAAATGTCAAACAAGGCCCCTCCCCCCAATTTGGTCACGTATCCTAAGCACGTTTCCCTTTGTAATACTGCTAATTTTAGTCCTTTCTCTCTAGTCCATTCGTTTACTTTTCCTTACGTAATCACTCTTGTTTATCTGTAATTTTCCTTGCTCGTTCCGCATTTTTCTATCATGTGTATTAGGTTATTATTATGAGTAAATTCATACCTACGTCAATTATCAGCATGTTAAGTAGATCGCCATAGCAACCCAGTATTTTAGGATATCGCGCTACCCCACCCCGCTCGTTACTAAGTAAATTACTTCCTTTTACCGTTTCATTTACGTATGTCTATTGTTTTCAGTTCAGCATCTATAGGAGCCCCGTACCTCATCTTAGAAAGTAAGAATTATGGAAAAGTAGCAGCAAGAGAAAGCAGTTTAGGCATGCACCGTTTTAGGGGTAAGATGCTTGTGAAAGATCTTGTCGCCTTCGTTTTGCTCTTAGTCGTTTTGAGATATTTATAGGAGATATATCAGTTTTGGAAGACCTCTGGGATAGTTCTTGAGAAAGATTTTGCCCATGTCACGCGTTAATTATTATGCCGTTGTTAGCATGCAAGTTATGTAGCTGCCGGGACGATTTTATCGAAAGAAAAGAAGGAAAGATTTAACCGATTTACGTCGCATCATTTATTGGCCATCCTCTGACTTTTAAAAGGTCCTGAGAATCAATCAATCATTAGAAACATTTTACACCTTACTATAAACATACGTTGAATAAATTGCCAGGGAGTGTACTATACTGTGTATGAACATAACAGAGAGAAAAGCCCTACTAGTGGGGACAATTATTTATGGCCAGCCCAGCGTGGCAAGAACAATCGTTTGAAGACTTGCTGTGTCTATTTGTAACTTAATGCCGCACTACAAATTCAAGTTCTTATTAGCCAGCTCTAAATAGAAACCACCCTTTTTGAAAAGACGAAAAGTGGCACTCAATAATAGCTTCAATAAAAAAAAATTATTTTTCTAACAGAATTATTTCTCAGGAAGAAAGAATCTTGGAAAACCGTAAGCCAGCTCTCGATTAAAAGATATAAAAGTACTAACATAGTATGTCTTGAGGGGCAAGACTAAAATTATGTTGGCAAAAAGAAATTCCTGGATATTTAAAAAAGAACGACTTTGCAAGTGGAATTGGTGGTATTCCCCATCCTCTCCTATCAGGGGAATACACAATTAACATCCAGAAAAAAGGTTCTCCCTATTCATGAACAGGAACTCAAAGATGCAGTTGGGAGACTAAAAAATACTAACAATTTTGGTAAT